CCATGCCTCCCAAGCAACACTGTGCTGGCCACACGAGCGCGCCACCCCACACGCGCGACAACCTTTGGCGGTTGAACCTTCAACTGCCAGATCCACTTGCCTTCAATTGGGGTCACCCCAGATCCCCCGACATCATTACCGTCACGCGCCTTCCCATGTCATCGATCTGCAAGAGAAGGGTCCGCGCGTCATTGCGTCGATTGGGATGTGCTAGCCATTTCGGATGAGTAGCTGCACTCACGGCATACTTGATATTGCCCGCAGTTTGCGGGTGAATGGGTCGGTTTTCCCGGCCATCTTGTTGAGTTGGGTCTTCGTCTAAAAGAGACAGCGCGCCGTGTCCCAGCTCAATGTCGTCCTTCTCCTCCTTCCTTCCAACCGCTCCTCCCCCCTCCCACCCTTGACTCTGCCCTCCACATGCCCCCAGCATAAATATTCCTTCGCATCGTCACCATCATCGTCAGCATAACCGCGCCACCTATGTCGGCACACCCCTGACACGTCCCGTGGCCCTCTAGGGAGCCCCACCCAAGGCCCCAGTGGCAGGGTTCGCATGCGTCCGCGCCACCCATTGTGGCACACCCCTCACACGTTTCGTGGCCCCCTTTAAGTAACTCCACTGGAGGCCCCAGTGACCGGGTTCGCGTGGGCCCGCGCCACCCATTGCGGCACACCCCTCACACGCATCGTGGCCTCATAGGGAGCTCCACCGAAGGCCTCAGTGGCAGGCTTCGCATGCGTCCGCGCCACCATTCTCGGCACACCCCTCACACGCATCGTGGCCCCACAGGGAGCTCCATTGGAGGCCCCAGTGGCAGGGTGCGCACGCGTCCCTGTCACCCATGTAGGCACGCCCCCTTCATCCTTTGTGGCCCCATAGGGACCCCCACCGATACTCACAACTGCGGTGCTCACAACTGCAGATGTTGGGGTCCTTTGCCAGGCTAGCGTCGGAGATTGTTGGGGTTGACTTCTTCAAGCTCTGCGAAGTAGTAGTGTGCACTCCTTCTGTTGACACCTTCTACGGTTCCGCACTTCTTTTTCAAGAAAAGAATCGGACCTGCCACCCTCCCAAGCCTGGACTTGCCAGTGCCCTGCTGTGTAGTGCGATTCGCGTATGATCCCGCCTCCTCGTTCATGTTACATCTGAACTCGCACCATCCGAGCCCAGCCAGTACCGCTACCCCTATCACCCCTGTCAAATAATATAATGCGCACGCGCGTGCAGCGAGGAAGCAATTGTACAATAACCCTTCTGCCACAAAAGCCAACGACAACACAAAGTCCAAACGCGCGCGAACATGTCGAAACCATACCACACACATGTGTCCCACAACCATGCCACCATAAAATCTATAAGAACCCATCGGTTTGGCATCACAAGTGTGGAACAATTTCTGCCCGCGAGCACGTGCTGAAATCATCGGAACATCGGGTGTGGGTTGGGCAATCTCGTCCCGAGCCCGCATTTGAATCGGACAATGCGGTGCATCCCAGCGCACGGAGCCGTATCGAATCATGCCATGCGGGCCACATGCGCGCGCCGCCACGCGCGCGTGTTGACATCCGTCGAAGGCCAGTGGTTTTCGAAGCGCTTGAGCATAGAGCTCGCCAAGAACTGATTCGAGCCACGCGCTGTCAGCACAACTTCTGCCCGATGTCTTGAATGTCTGCGCGCGCGCACTTCCTCATCATCCTCCACCAGCGCCATCGCATCACCGCAGTCATCGTCATCGTCAGTCGCCGTCATTGCCGCCATCATCATCACAATCACCTCCATGACCGGTACATGGGCATCACCATCGTCATCGTCGACATCAGCGTTGGCGTCGTGATTGGGAACGCCGTCAGCAACATCATCATCGTCATCATTATCATCACTATCATCATCATCATCATTACCAGTATCATTATCATCATCATCGTCACCATCACCATCACCATGATCATCACCACCATCATCGTCATCATAATTTCCACCATCGGTAATCCTCGTTGCCGCCGTTCTCGACGTTGTTATGAAATTGCGCCCGGCCGAACCACCGACCCGCACTGAATTGTCCGCGCGCTAGCGCGACCTTAAAGGAGACGCGCTGTGAAGTTCTCACCGGTAAGCGCCATCGTAGCCGCACCCGTTGTACCAGACCAGCTGGGCGCTCTATGCGCGTGTTTTGCTCCAGAGCGGCTGTAGAGATGCGCGAGCAACAGTATTCGGGAACCGGAATCGTGGCCTCATGGGTTTTGTCAAGCAAGTTGCGGGAAGCAGGGTAGGATGTTTGCGCGAGCGCTGGAGTGGATAATTTCAATTTCCGCAATGTGCATTCGCACCATATGTTGCACCAGGTAGCACACACTACATACATTGCATGCCATAGTTCTTCTGGTTCCAGTGCTTGTGATTGCCCAGGTTGCTTAAGTAGTTTGCTACGTCAGAGTGCGGGGGCCGAACGGCCATTCACTGTCCCTGGGTGCGTGGCTGAATTGGAATTACGCGGCGCGGATTCTGCTTGTTGATGCGTTGCGTTGTTGTTATGGTCGTCGCCCTACCCACGACCCGCCCGCGACCACCCCGCGACCCACCCGCGACCTGGCCCGCGACCCACCCGCGACCCCCACCCGCGACCCATCGGTGACCCACCCCGCGACCCACCCACGACCCACCCGCGACCCACCCACACTGCTCTGACGAAAACATCGGCGCCTGCGGCGGGCTCGTTGCATCTTCCGTTGAACTCGGCGCCTGCGGCGGGCTTCTTCGGAGCCTCGCAGCTTGCCGACGACTCCTCCGCCCCCTCACTCCCATCCGCAACAGGCGGGGTGCTGCGTACTTTAGGCTCTTCGGCCACTGCTTTTGCCCGCGGGCGCGCGCGGGCGCCTCGTGAGCGCCCCGCGCCCTGGAGGGCAGGCCGAGGTTCCTCGCCGGATGCCCCCGCCCGTGGGCGCCGCGCGCCCGCCCGCGGGCGCCCCCGCGCTGGGGGGCACGTGCCCAGGTTTCTCGCGCGGTGCCCGCCCGGCGCGCGCGCTCCGCGCCCGGGGTCGGCCGGGTGGGCCACGCGGAGGTGCTGCCTGGCGCCCGCCCGTGCGCGCGCCCTGCGCTGGGGAGGGGGGGGGGGGGGGGAAAGTCTGCCGAGGTCGCTCGGTGCCCGCCCCCTGGAGCGCCTCGCGGGGTGTCCCGCGCCGGGTGGGGTGTGTGCCGAGGTGGTCGCCTGGCGCCCGCCCTCTTGGGCGCTGCGCGGGCGCCCCTTCGCAGCCTGCACCGCTCGGGTCGCTTCGCGTGGGCTGGCGCAGCGTGCCGTGCACCACGCAGCTCCCCCCCCGAGTGGCCTACACCGCGTGGCTTGCACCACGTGAGCTGCACCAGGCGCGCTGCGCGGCAGCGCTTGCGCCACGCGTCGCAGTTGCACCACACGGCTTGCACCTCATGGGTTCTCTACGCACACGATGGATACGCTCTGCCACCCTCTTCCCCCCAGCCTTGTAGCCCCCCTGGGCACTCCAACTGGAATAGTGTTATAGTGTTCTGCCTCATCTTCCATCTTCCACATGAACTCATACGTCCCAGCCCAACCAGTATCGACCCCCCCTCCCCCTGTCAAAGGATAATTATGATGTGCGTACTCTCGGAAAGGAAACTCTCCTGTTTCAGGGGTCCCTTGAAGCAGAAAACAGAAGATGCCTACACTCGCACACATTTCGAATTAGCATCAGACGCGCTAGTTGTGCAATCGGATTAGCATGACAACCCAACAACCGCAACCTTCAGGTGTGTCATCACACATCTTGTACATAGCCTGTCCACGCGCATGTGCCGAACTCGCAGAAGAGCAGTCCGATGTTAGCAGCCTCGTCCAGAGCCCACGCGTTCATCCCACCACGCGGTGCACCCCGCGTGGACCCAGCAGGCGCCCAGCGCGCACATCCGTACCCGAATATACAATGCGGGTCACCCGCGCGCTCCGCCACGCGTGCGTTTCGGAATCCTTCCAAACCCATTAGCGTTTGACGCATCTCAAGGTGGCGTTTGCTGCAACATCGGTGATGCGTCCGGGTTTCATAAGGCTCTTCTTTACCTTCTCCTCATCCTCGCTTCCGACAGGGGGGGAGTGTGAGAGAGAGAGAGAGAAGAAGAGGAACAGAGAAAGCGAGAAAGAGAGAGAGAGAGAAGGAACGATAGGGAGCGAGAGAGAGAGAGAGAAGAAGAGGGATAACCGAGAGAAAGAGAGAGAGAGAGAAAGCGAGTGAGCGAGAGCAGAGCAGGGTAGTAGAGAGAGACGGCGAGGGAGTTTGAGAGGGGGGGACATATAGAGACAGCGCCGCCGATGGCGCACTCGGCAGGACCAGCGGCGGCTGATGCTGATGGAGCAGATGAGGCAGATCACCAAGGAAATATACCCTTCGCTCTTCATTGCTTATTCAGCCCATTCCGCCTCCTGCCAAGGTGCAATGGTTTCTCAGGAGGCGTATGTCGGCCTGCCTCGCATGCTGTTTTGGGTGGCACCCGGTCTTACATCTTTACGATCGGGTCACACGCGTGCTTTGATGCCATCCCCCACCTTGCAATAGCTACCGAGGCTGCTTGCTACATGCTATGTTTGCAGTCCTTGCGAGCCCCCCTCAGGCGAGCCAGTGCCATCTCCCCCTTCCCCTCTCCCTCACGTCTCCCCCTCCCGCCGCCTCGTCCTCCTACTTCTGCTCCTCTCTCTTTCCCGCCTCCGCCACCTTCCCCTCCTCCCCGCTCGTGCTCGTTCTCCCCCTTCTTCCTCTCTTTTCATTTGGCAGGCGCCAGTAGGTTCCGTTCACGAGTTAACAGACTCATCATCCGCCCTCCTTCCTCCTCTCTCCCCTCTCCTCTTTGGCCTCCCCATCCTACCCCATCCTCCTTCTCATGATCCTTCTGCCTCTTCGACGCTGCTTATCCCAGGCACTCTTGCCTCTCCCCTGCTGCTGCTTATGTCGGTGGTGTCGCCCACATCGAGCGGTCGCATACGAGCGCGTCGCGGCGGTCTGCAGTCGATTTCGGATCGATCATGCATTTTGTGCGCCACACTTCCTTACTATGTTCCACCGCCACTTGTCGTGTAGCTGGCGTGTAATATGCGGGGGAGCTGCAATTGGTGCGATCTTCGTGGCTGTCCTCCAGTTTCCCAGCTTCGCCGGAGTCCGGGTGGCCGGTGTTTGGGCCCGTGGTAACGTGGAGTGACCTAGATGGGGGGTGAAGAAACGGGTCATCCCAAAGGGTCCCTCTACGACCCCTTTGGGAGCCACCAGGGGCCCACAGGGGCCCTTGAGGACCCATTCTCCACCCGCATTTGGGCCACTCCCCATCACCACCCGCCCGAGGTGTGCAGGACAATCCTCTTGCCGATGGATCGTCGCCACAGCTGCCTGCGCGCCCCATAGCCGAGAAGCACTCTGGAGCTCAGCCGTGGGCGAGCGATGACCATTTCGTCTACTATGCCCCCGCGGCATCCCAGGCTTCGCTGAGCCATAATACTCGAGAGGCTTACGCCGTTCCGCCGACTCCCAGAAGAGACGGGAAGTCCACGGTTGCGGCTATTGGGGTTTCTTGGGCATCATCGGGGGACTCTGGTGGGCGTCCTGGGGGCGGTCTTCTGGGGCGGGGGTCTCGGAAAGCTGGTTGGTGTTGCGTGTCGTTGAGTCCGTTCGGGCGTTATCGGGGGCCTCTTGCGCTGGGCGGGGGTCGGCGGATCAGCGACTACTACTACGCGCTCGGAGCGAGGTCCGCGCTCTCCGAGGAGATGGCTCGACGCCGGGTTGGCGGCCATGGGAGGGTGCACATCTTCCACATGCCCCAGGGGCCTTTGGTGCCCCAGGCGCGGGAGGTGGCCACGAGGCGCCATGCGGGCTTGAGCGAGCTGGTTCGCATGGAGCTCGGCGTGAACCTCGCGGCCGCGCTGCCAGAGTATCGTCGTCCGCCAGAGTATCGTCTTCCGCGCGGTTACCTTGATCCTCTGGCCCTCCAAAGGGACCAAGAGTTGCTTGTAATTGAGGGGATCACCGAGCCAATCTATGCCCGCTACTTGGACGAGATGACGAACCCGAACTCCGAAGGCCTCAAAGTGAAGAGCCGCAACTGGCTGAACGCGGAGGATACCGCTAAGGTGGTCGCTTTCCTAAAGGGCGAGTTCGAGCACATGGGCTTCACGACTTGCGTGCAGGAGTTTAAGAGCTGGAACCACCCCGATAATCGACGCGCCGCAGGAAGGAAGGTGTCCAATGTGATTGCCTACGTTGAGGGCACGGACGTGGGCACCGTGACAATGGGAGCCCACTTCGACAGCATGCCCCCGAAGGACAGAGGGAGTAGCTGGCTCTTCAATGGGAACCCGGATAACCTTGCGCCGGGCGCCGTGGATAATGGCAGTGGCGTAGCAGCAGTATTGACGATGGCGAAGGCCTGGATGGAGGCATACAACAAGGCAGGTCTGCGGCCCAAGAAGTCTATGTATTTCGTTGCGTTTGGTGGGGAGGAGGAGAACCTGTATGGATCGGACCGTTTCGCCCAAGAACTCAGGACACCAGGATCTTCCAATTCTAGGATCCCCGCAAATTGCCGGCCGTACCCTACCGATGACCACAAGGCTATTATCATGGATATGATCGGTTGGAGGAACCCACGCTTCCAAACCGACACGGTGACCATGGAGACCAAGACCTGGGCGGCAGACATGTTCGCATCATTAGCCCAATCGAACGTGTTGAACAACGGGAATCGCTTGAAGTTGCTATACGGGTTAGATCCGTACGGTTCCGACCACGAGAGTTTTCTAAATCGGGCCATGGAGGCAGTATTGACCATCGACAACGACGGGGATGAGAATGCTTACAGGTGCTATCACAGGACGTGCGACACAATTATTCAAGTGAGCACCAGGCTGGCGACAGAAATATCTCGGATGAACATGGGTGCAATGTTACGCGAGGCTCTCTTGAACTAGAGTAGGCACTGTTCTGTGCGTGTGCAACCAACAGTCTGGCGGCAATCCAGATTGGACCTCAGAACACCAGAACAAATTGTGTGGGGGAGGCGAAGTAAGGTGCTGCAAGGCGAGAGCCACATTTCAAGGTAGAGCCGGGTTTTCCCGTGGGTTGTCCCGTGGGTTGTCCCGTAGATAGCTTTGTGTTTGTCACGTGGGTTGTTTTGTGGCTGCGCCGTGGAACACGCACATCGAAATTCAAATCTAGTTGCGCACGATATGCAAATCAAACTGCAAATCGAACCCCAAGGCAAAGTGCAGCTCTATTCATGTAGATCAACCTGCAAACTGACATCCAACCCCAGATGCAACACACTCGCAGTCGAGACACGAACCGACATCTATAGTTTAATGTAAATTGCAATGCGCATCTGACTTCACATCCAATGACAGTAGAAATGCACATCGTTTCCGGCGTTGAAGCTGTTGACGCAGCTTGCGCCTACATCCGATTGCCACGGAGCTAACCTGGAGAGGAAACAACAAATCAAATGCACATCGAAGTGAATATGAATATCACTTGGGGTACACATCGTGATGCAACTCATGATGCGAACTTGATCGGAAGGCGGAATGCAACAGACACGCAAACCGAATTGAAACCCCTAAGTGCAGTCCAGACTGCACTTTCATGATGCGAATCCAAGTGAATTCGGAGTCAGGACGAAATCAGATCAGATGTTGCTTCCCTCCTTGGTTGGCGGATTTGGGGCCGCGGTTGTCCCGTAGTCGTCCTGTGGTTGTCCCCTGATTGTCCCGATGGTTGTCCCGGTGGTGTTCCTCAAGGTTGTCCGGATGATTGTCCCGATGGTTGTCCCAAAGATTGTCCCGATCGTTGTCCCAATGGTTGTCCTGATGTTTGTCCCGACGGTTATCCCGATGTTTGTCCCTATGATTGCCCCATGGCTGTTGCGATGGAAGATGAGATTGATTGCTAGTGATATTGGTAGATGGGTAGTGCGGCAGAAGTGATCGTGATACAGGTAAATCGCCCGAGAGTCCGGTTAATAGATAGTAAGGCCAATACTTAGTGGGATCGGCAGATAAATAGATTCTGGGTTCGGTAGTTAGGTACATAGCGGGGTCGATAAGCAGATGATCGTACCGATAGGTTGGTGCATGTTTAGGTAGTGCTATCGATCGATGGTCCGATCGGGGTTGTCCCGATGGTTGTCCCGTCTGCTGTCCCGAAGTGATCCCGATCGGTGACTGGGTGACTAATCGTGAGGTCATTCGATTAGTAGTGAGGGCCATGTATTTCCAGGTAGACAAGACTTTTATATATGGTAATAATCATAAGGTTTGTGTGCATACGTTAGCCAGCGTGGAACCCCAACCGTGTGTGTTCTAGCAGAATTGGTGGAGCCATTTATGTGTTGCATCCGATGTGCCAATTTGGAGCACTTGTTGTGATGCATTCTACATTGGGCAGTCGATGTGGTGCAATATGCGTGGAGCAATCTATGTGGTGCAATTCGTTTCTGTTCGCAGTGAGTTGTCCTCTCCACTGCTCGCGCAAACATCCCACCCACCCACCCGCAACTTGGTTTGCAAAATCTCTTAAGACCGTGACGGTGGGTACCAAATGGCACTTGGCAACGATAGCGACGCCGACGACGACAGCGACAACGACGACGACGACGCCGCCGACAACGACTACGACGACACCGACGACGTCTCCAACGACTTCGACGACGCCGGCAACGACGACGACGACGACGACGACACCGACGACAACGACAACGCCGACGCCGACGACGATGACGACGACGACGATGACAACGACGACGACGATGACGACGCCGACGACGACGACGACAACGACGACACCGACGACGACGACGTCAACGACGCCGACGACGACGACGACGACGACGGCAGCGACGACGACGACGCCGACGTCGACGACGACGAAGGCGACGACGCCGACGCCAACGACGACGACGAAGACGACGACGACGACGTCGCCAACGAAGACGACGACGAGGGAGGAGGGAGGACGACGACGGCGACGCCGACGACGACGACGATGACAACGACGACGACGACGATGACGACGCCGACGACGACGACGACAACGACGACGACGACACCGACGACGACGTCAACGACGCTGACGAAGACGACGACGACGACGGCAGCGACGACGACGACGCCGACGTCGACGACGACGAAGACGACGCCGACGCCAACGACGACGACGAAGACGACGACGACGTCGCCAACGAAGACGACGACGAGGGAGGAGGGAGGACGACGACGGCGACAACGACGACAATGACGACAACGACGAGGGATGAGGGAGGACGGCGACGACGCGAACGGCGAAGAAGGAGGAAGGACGGCGACGCCGACGACGACAACGAGGAGGGAGGAGGGGAAACGACGACGACAACGACGACGACGACGATGACGACGACGGCGGCAAAATAGGAGGGACGACGACGAGACGCCGACGACGGACGACGACGACGACGAGGGAGGAGGAGGAAGGACGACCACGGCGACAACGACGACGGAAACGACCACGACGCCAAAGAGGATGACGACGACGAACACGAGGAAAGACAGAGGACGACGTAGGCGACGACGACGACGACGGCGCGGGAGGAGGGAGGACGGCGACGTCGACGACGACGACGCAAGAGCGCGCGCGCACGCTTTTGTTGAAAATCCGTGTTGCGAAACCTTGTGTTTTTTACGTTGGTTGGACACGCGATTTTGAAATCCTTCCGAAACCGATGGGTTTCGAAGGATTTCGGCATACGCGCGCGACGACGCGCGCGTCTGAATTTCGTCCCGTTTTTTGCAAAGGATTCCCGCGACGGCACACGCGCAAGGGCGTTCGACAGATTTCGACATGCGCGCGCGCGAAGCCCGTTCGGTAGCATTTTGTGAAAATCTTGAAATACCCATGGTTTCCTTAACATTTCGCAAAAGCTCGCGCGTAAGCTTTTTTAGCAAATCAGTGTTGCGAAACCCTGTGTTTTTGTATGCTTTTTGGAAACTCGAATGCGAAGTCTTTCTGACACAAGGGATTTGTGAAACAAAGTCTTATGTTAGAGCAACAAATGTCCCCGCGTATCGTTTTTTTAAAAACAGGAAGGAACCTCAGGGGGGCCGATCCTGGTCCCTCTGGGATCGTGTAAATTCATATCTCGGAGTGACATGTGGTCAGACCATATATGATTCACGTACCCGATAGGGGGGCGGATAACGCCGGGGGGAGTAGAGTCTATTCTCTTTTTAGAAAGGAGAATATATATATATATATGGTTCTATCTGTGGAGCGATGAAGGTGGTACCATCTATGTGGTGCAATCACGTGTGAAGAACTTGAAGTTGTCCATTTCTCCGCTCGCGTAATGATCCCACACACTTGCCCGCAAGTTGGTTTGTAAACTCCATTCGGCGGCAATTGCGATGGGCGTTCTGAGTTGGCCAGCGCCTCGCTGCGACCGCGCTAGCGCGCGCAGGCTCATGCGCAGAGCGGCCAGTGACCGACGCGGCCGCGGTGACGCTGACCGCTGGGGACCCTCCAGCGCGCCTCGCAGGCCGCGCTGGCGCCCAGGAAATGCAGTGCGAGTCTGTGAGCCGGGCGGGCGCAGTATCGTGGCGACGTTGGCATCGGCAGGCACGATGATGATTGTAGCGGTGCTAGTGGCGACGAATGACGACGATGACGGCAAGACCACGGACGGCGCCTATGATGATCACGCCGATGGCGGTGATGTAGCCCACGCGTCGGTGATGAGGGATCTGGACAGATTTCGACGTGCGCGCGCGGCCGACGGGCGCGAATGGCCCGCATGGTTTCATCCCTTCAAGCACGCGCGCGGGGGCGCACAAATGATTTCGACATCCGCTCCCGCGAGAGGCCCGCTTGGTCGCGGGTGATGAGCATGTTGAACAACAGCCGCGCTGGCCTTGTAGGCATTCGCAAGTGCGCGCGCACGCACGACTTTTCGATTGCCAGTCGTTGCTGCGAGCACCCCATTATATATATATATATATATATATATATATATAAAATAGCAGAACTTGCTCGGGGCATCCGCTCTGCGTGCGCGCGCCCGCGGCGCGGCGCCGAGCGAGGCCCGCGGGGCGGCAGAGCCTCGCGCGGCGCGGCGCCCTCGGGCTCGGGGGGGGGGGGAGCGCTCGAGCTCTCCCCCGGGAGCCAGCGGGGGACGTGCACGCACGGCCGGGCCGGGGGCAGGGGCTCGGGGTCGTCTGTCGGGGGGGGTGCCCCCCTGGGGCTCCCGCGTGCCTCTTGGAAGCCAGCGGAGGGCGTGCACGCACGGCCGGACCGGGGCAGGGGCTCGGGGTTGTTTGTCGGGGAGGGTGCCCCCTCTGGGGCTCTCCGCGTGCCTCTTGGAGGTTTTTTTGCGCCTCCCGGGGGAGGTTTTTTCGGGGATCTCTCGGGCTCTCCTCCTGGAGCGAACGACAAGGACGTGCGGTCGGACCGAGGCACGGGCTCGAGGTCGGTTTGGGGAGTGCCTTGATGTTCCTCGTGTTTGGTGGATGCTCTTGTGCCTCCTGGGGGGGGCACCCTCGGATATGTTCGTCAGTTTGGGCCGGCGGATGGTCTCACGTTATTGAAGGATCTTTTTTATGGCCAAGGTCCGGCTGTACACGTACAAGAATCCACCTTGGCTTCGAGAGTGCGCATTGCGCGAGCGTTCGTATCGCGAGGCTGGTCACGCGGACTGGGGGGCCGAATTCTTGCACGTAGCTTGGCGCGTGCATCCTTCCGCCGGTTTCCTATATCCGCCGCCTCTCTCAAGTTTTTGTCGGTTGGATCTCTCAAGCTTTCAAGCTCTCTTGGAGGAGCTCGGGATCGAGCAGGACGGCAAGCAGTCACTGATCACCCAGTTGCGGGATGCGATCAAGGACCTCGCCTCCTGAGAGGATGAGGAGGAGAAGGAGGAGGAGGAGAAGGAGGAGGAGGAGGTATCGATGCCGCGTTTCGCTTTTTGGGGGCATCCAGGGCGTGCCCTCATCTCCACGGCTTGATTCGCCTCGAAGTTCTGGTCAGAACGCATCCTGGCAG